GGGGGGGGGGCATGTCCCCCCCGGGAAAATTTTGAATTTCAACCCATGTTTTGCATGTTGAGGGGGCAAATTTGGCAGCACAAATTTCGCTGGTACATCGAGCTATAAATTTAAAGTCGGTATTAAACGGTATGGTCAGTCAGTGTAATCGAAATAATCCTCTATCTAGCCTACCTTTCGTCCACGAACTTCTTCCGCGTCAATTTTATTACAAACAGGGAAACAATATTGCCAACTTACGTGTTGTTTTCAATTAACTTTGGAGGGACATAGATATAAATGTTAACAACCACATTTGTGTCTTTAAAAGACACAAATGTGGTTGTTTTTTTTCATCAACTTTGTGTTGACAAAATATATGTGGGCGTTACCATGTGCGTTTAGGGGGCATTAGTACAAAACAGAGCAAAGGTAGTTCTGCTGGTGACATTTTCTTTTTCAACAATATCGATATCTGATCAGGTGCCCTGTAGGATTGAATTATGGTCGATGCAGAAAAATTTCCATCAAAAACGTGCTGGTTTTCCACACTTGCGTCGCACTTGCTATCAAAAACAAACAAACAAACGCTAAACTAACGCAATGTACACTCCGGCTAATTTCATAGAGGGAAAATCTGCACGTGCAAATTCAACAAATTAAGTGACATCGTCTTTAAAGACGTTGTTTTTCACGATTCAAATAGAACGAAACTAACCTCATCTTTTGGCGAACTTTTCGGGTCCGGGGCTGCCATCTTGGAAATTGCATGCCGGGATAAACAAATATTGTAATACCGTCGCTGATTGGTCACAGTTCTTCAGTCCAACCAATCGCAGGCCGGCTTATAATTTATTCCCCGCATGTCACTTCCGGGTTTGACGTCTTCTCGGGAGGAAAAAAGCTGCGCTCACGCGACTTGAATTTCTGGCGCTTTGCCCTCGGTTGAACCAGCAGGCAAATCGTCCCCCTGCCAGGGCGAGAGATGTACGCGGCACAGGGAAAGGCCTTTCGAGTGTGGGATGGGGAGAGGAAAGTCAAGGTTGGGGTCGTCGCTAGATCCCTCCACGAGCTCAAGAGCAAAGGTAAGTGTTCCCCGATCAAAATACTACACAGTACCGTTCTGAACAAAAGGCGGACGGCAATGGCACGGTTAGATCGTCTGGCGACAGACGCTTTCCCGGTATAGCGGGTCATTGACCCCACGCGCTGAGGTTATTCACCTCGCTAGCAGCAGTCGATAACAAAATCCGTTCCACCCGTCCTGTGCACCGGGTTAGTCTAGGGCAAAGGTAGCAAGGCAAGGCGGGCATAGAGATCTACTAGGCTAGCCAACATATGCGTACAGAAAGGCTGGTGGTTGTAAAAATGTGTTTGTTTCTCGGTGTGAGCTGTGTGTTTATGTACCACTACAGGATGTCAACAACCACAGCACTGCAGGAAAAAAAGGCTAGGGCAAAGGTAGCAAGCAAGCAGAAGCTGGACAGAGAGATCTAGCTAGCCAACATATGTGACTACAAACACTACAGGCTGGTGGTTGTAAAAAAAAATATGTGTTTGTTTCTCGGTGTGAGCTGTGTGTTTATGTAACACTACAGGATGTCAACAACCACAGCACTGCAGGAAAAAAGTAGGCTAGGGCAAAGGTAGCAAGCAAGCTGAAGCTGGACAGAGAGATCTAGCTAGCCATAACATATGTGTACAGAAACAGGCTGGTGGTTGTAAAAAAAATATGTGTTTGTTTCTCGGTGTGAGCTGTGTGTTTCTGTAACACTACACACTGTCAACAACCACAGCACTGCAGGAAAAAAAGGCTGGGTTAGTCTAGGGCAAAGGTAGCAAGCAAGGCGAAGCCGGGCAGAGAGATCTAGCTAGCCATAACATATGTGTACGAACAGACTGGTGGTTGTAAAAAAAATATATGTGTTTCTCGGTGTGAGCTGTGTGTTTATGTACTAGTATCAGGACACGCTGTCAACAACCACAGCACTGCAGGAAATAAAAAAGAACACGGCAGTGTCAGTCTAGGGTAGCAAGCAGAAGCCGGGCAGAGAGATCTAGCTAGCCAACATATGCGTAATAAAATAAAAAAATAAAATACGGCACGTTCTGGATTTTTCAGACCTGAAAAAATTTATGCTTTTTCGGACCTAAAAAAATGCTTCATCTGCTGCCTAAAAGCTATAACATCCTTGCTAAATCTAATCTAGTAATATCGCTGATGAACATGCGCAAATTCAATAGAGCTCGAAAACACTGCCGCAGGCGTATGTATCCCAGAGTTCAGTAGCCTCTACCAGGCTTCGGGAGGCGACCGGAAAGAGTAGAAATTGGCCAAAATAGAGAGATAACATGCCAGGGGAGTTGGTCCGCTAGAGACTAGTAGTAGAGAGTACATTTTGCCGCACCCGTGGGTCGCAAAATGTACCCTCTCTGGCCGGCTAAGTCCCCTGGTATACTATTCCCTTTAAGGTCAATTCCTATATTATTTTTCAAGCGATCCACGGTGCCTGGTAGAGGCTAGCAGTTGAAAGTTGGTCCGCTAGGGAGTACATTTTGCTGCACCCATTGGTCACAAAAATGTACCCTCTCTGGCCGGCTAACTCCCCAGGTATACTGACTGTTCCCTTTATTCTGGCCAATTTCTACTATTTCTTAAGCGATCTGCGATGCCTGGCAGAGGCTAAGAGTTGAGACAGATGTCAGGGGGGTTGGGCCATTGTCAACTGGGACTATACAGTATGCTAATCAGGACAAGTCAGACCAAATCCTAGGTGGGGTCCTAACCTACCGGCCTGCGGCTAGTCTGGCAGCCCTGGTTGTTCTTTCTATTCTTTTAAGATTACTGGAAAGCTCTTTTGATCAAAAACACAGAAAAGCTAGGCCTAAAATTTACCTTTACAAGTTTTAGCCCCAGTTTCTGGATGTTTCTAGCCTTCTTGCATCCAAAATCTGTTCAGCTGACCCCATGGATTTGTCCAGTGCCCCAACTGACCCTTTGTTGACCTCACTTCTTTGTCTAGTTACACAGTGGAACTCGGTTTGTCTTGATGGCTAAGCACTAGATGTGCATGTAACACTAAGCACAACAGATACACGGAAACTAGTCTTTGAATGATTGTAGTAGTAGAATAGTTTATTCACTTCAGTTCTCTAAAAAATACAGCCCAGTTGCAGCCTGAAGGCTTGTTTACAAAGTCATGTCTTCATACTACATGTACTACAGTGTACAGTGTGAGTGTACATTGTACAAATACATGCTAAAATGTAAACAATCAACTCATTTATCACATATATTATTTTAGTCAGCGATGTTACAGATAAAATTTGAGAACACATTAAAAATCACTCTGAAAATTGACAGGCAAATGGCTAAAATCGACAATAACATTGTAGGACACAAGAATTTGTTACAAAGAGTGGAGCGATAATATTATCAATGGCTATGAGTATGAATTGTTTATCAAAGGTGTCATATGGAGGATGGCACTGTTCCTGTGAATGATTGACTCATTATGCACTAAACTCTATTACTACAGGCTAAGAGTAACATACCACCAGTAGTGGCCCCAAATACTGTATACAATGTCCTTGACCACTGGCACAATTACAGGATCTGTTTAAACAGTCAAGGATCTTGAATACAAGGCTATAGAATGACAGACATTTTCAAAACATTGTTTTTGATGGACTGAAAGGCATAACAGGTCATTGGTGTAGCCTAGGTAGGCAAAAAGTGTCTGGTACAGTTTCGTGTGCAGTGTACCAGTGTTCTGGCCAATGTCTCAGACATTGTCTGGAAAAAAATTTGCCCAATCCGTCCTCAATTGATGGACAAATATTGGAGTGTACAGATATGGAAAGAGGTGTCATAGAACTAAGTTTGGTCTACCAGCAAAATATGCCGGATCAAAATACAGGAAATAGCATCATGATTAGGTCATGATAATGATTTCAAAATTTCCCAGGGAAGCATGCGCCCAGGCCCTGATACTATAGTGATAGGATTGTTGTGTTTGGTACTGACATTATATTACCAAGGAGCATTAAATTTGCTTTTTAACTCGTAACCTTGATGTTACACTCACACACACTCACTGTGATATTGATATTACATGAAACAAAATTCAGATGGTGACAAAAAATTCAGCCTAGCTAGAGAACTGAATATTTGTATGACTATGAAGCAAAAAAAATTACATGCATGTGCAATGTACCAATATTTGTATTTAGTAAATACAACCTGTTATTTGTCCCAGTATGGGTTCTTGTTTAAACACATTGTGTACATTGTTTGGTATCATCTGCTTTTCTCAGCAGCTCTTTGTGACTGTGTAGAAAATTTGTAAGACAATAATGTCAATAGCAGAGCTGAATTCACGCCCTTTCATTCTCAAAAAGTTTCATCACAACACACATGGTACTTCACTCCCTTTGTGTGTTTGAACTACATGTAGCAAGAAAGTATTTCATCAGGAGCAGGCAGATTTTCCTTAAGTAAGTTACTAGCCTCTACCAGGCACCGGGGATCGCTGGAAAAATAGAAATTGGCCGAAATAATGGGAATAGTATACGAGAGAAGATCCCGGGCCATAGAAGAAGGTCCCGTGGGTCGCAAATTGGATCTTCTATGGCCTGGGATCTTGACTACTCAGTATTTTTCCAACGATTCGCAGCCTGGTAGGGGCTAAGTTACTACCGGGTACTACTATAGCCAGTGCAGGCTGCTCTAGGCCAGGTGTTTCCACTAGTATAAGATTGTCTGGATGAGTTGTCAACTTTACCCCAGTGGGAACACTCCCTGTCTGGAATGGTTCAATCAAGGACATTCTGATTTATGCAGATAATGTCCTTGGTTCCATGAAACTGGTCAGCAACAATCCAACTGGGGCAAAGTTGACCAAATGGAAGCCTGGTTCACAAGTTGGTCACCAATCTATCTCGATCCTGACAATTTTACAATGTTTCAGTTTTTATATAGTTTGTATAATATATGTCCGTTACTCCAGGAAGACTAGCTACATAACATACTTGTCTGTTTTTACCTGTTGTTTGCTAATGGATTCCTGGAAATAAACTTTATATTTAGCACCCAAAGCACCTATATCCTAGTGGGAACATAGCCCTAGGGAAACTTGTATGTCTCTGTAGTAGTAGTCTGTACAACCTGGGTGAAGGAGCCTGTCTGTAACTAGTGCAAGCATGGAAGTATAAGAGAGTAAAGGTCGGGGTTCTAGCTAGGATTTAATTTTAGCGTTGTGGCACTGGCCGCATGTTGAGGGAGCGAAGCGACTGAGAGGGGGGATTGGGCGGAAGAGATGATGTGCCTTCCCATCTGAGGTGCGGAGCTTTGAAAAATTTGAGCTAAAAAAGAGTCCATTTGAGGGATACCCAAAGGGAAAAAATGTTATTTCTAATGTATGCGTACAATGTATCCTTGATTGGTACTTTTTCACATTTGATCTGGCATTCTTGAACAAAGACATACAGTCACAATCAATGCCCCTACGCTGTATTGAAAATTACTGTAGGGAGGGAAATTTAGTGTAGGGGGTCAAAATGATACTGATAGTGTAGGGGGCTATTTTGCGCTAGCTAGAAATACTATAAGAGAGTAAAGGTCAGGGTTCTAGCTACGATTTAATTTTAGTAGAATACTAGGTAATACAGTTGTTACATCATGATCATGCATAAGGACCAAACTACATTTACGCACAAGGAAATAGTTACTGTGTTTTTCATTACATCATGGATGTCTAACCTTCATCAACAAATTAGCAAGGGGTTCGCAATGCGTAGGAAAATTAACAAACACGAAGACAAGACAACCAAAATTGTGGACAAAAAGTAAATGACACATATTTTGGTAATACATGTACATGTATATAGCAATCAAAGTGCTCATAGTCATACTGTCATAGCTTTGCAGAGAAAGTAGTACTGGTATGCTCCATTTTTAATTGGTATGACCCAGCCGGGGTTTGAACCCACGACCTCTAGTCCTCTAGCCCTAGGCCATTTCACTAAAGCCGTTTTGTCTGCATCAAACTGACTGGAAAAGACCAGACAGATTTAAGCTTTTTCT